GTCCGATAGGAAATTCGGTTGCGATTATGATTTTAAACAGTGACCATTTAGCGTGACTAAGTTTTTCTTATTTATTTAAAATATTTACCTTAAATCCTTACATTCCACAGTGATTAATAACCCACTACTATACTAAACGATAAATAAACTATTAAATGTGCAAGTTTCACTAAATAAACCATGACATCTCTTTAAATAATAAATCAGTTAATAGTAATTTTCAAACAAACAAAAGATAAATAAAATGGTGGATAAAAATAAACTTTGTTGCCAACTCTGTTTCACTACAGAATGGCAGAAACAAAACACCATGTATAGTATACTATACATAAAATGTACAATATTGTGTTACTTATCTCAGATTAAGAAAGATAATTAAAAAAAATACAGTTACATTTCCATAAATCTACAAATTCGAATACAATTAACAAAAAGAAATTGAGACTGTTTCAACTCAAAAAAAAGAAAACTAATTAAGAAAGATATTTATCTGTTGAACAATTTTAATCACAATTCATATAGTTGAGATCATGAGTCAATTGAAGCTAGACCACCATGGAAAACCTGGAAGCACTGGAAGGCCGTTTTGTAGAAGATTCGGAACATCAGTAGATGAAGAATCCTCGATGAAGGGTAACAGGCGTAAATAAGTAAGGAAGGAAGGAAGAAAAGAAAGAAACTGTTCAAATCTAAAGAGTTTGAAGTTATGTTAGAACATTTCTTGAACAATACCTAGATAAAACTAGTTCTTAACAAAGCAATATTCACAATAGTACGAAATGGCCGTCCAGTGCTTTCAAATTTTCCATAATGATCTAGCTTCAATTGATTCATGATTTCAACTATTGAAATTACCATAATATCCACAAAAAACCGCTTTCGTTACAATTCATATAGTTCAGTGCATCATATCACTTTTATACTTAAAATATTCAACAACAACAACAACATTAGATGGAAAGTCCAATAAAGAAGTATATCAAGAATATTCTATGGAAATAGTCTTGTACAAAATCAATAACAAGAAAAGATATAAAATACTACTACTGATAAACTGAAACAACTAATTTCTATTTATAATTAATAAATGATTTTAACAATTAAGGAATGTTCATAAAATAAATAGTAATAATATAATGATAAAATAATTTACAACAAGCAATTAATGGGAATAACGAGAGAGAGAGAGAGAGAAGAAACGTGTTGTTATGGTAGAAAACTAAATGAGAACATGTGGAAATATTTCTGTGTTGACCATTCAATAAACAATCCATTAGAACTATAACTTTTAGTTACATCAATTCAATGTTAAATCATGCATAATACTATTAAGAATGTATAGAAATATCTCAAATATAACTAAAAGATATATTAAGAATTTACTTATAAAAGTCTATTCTTGTATAGGAAAAATCAGAATTCATGAATCAACAATTTATTTGATGATAGAACATATTTGTTACTTTGGGATATTATAATCGATTTTTTGTTTGTATAAGTGAAAATAAATCAGATATTAGTATATTTCATAATTCTAGTGATAACTCTCCCAATTATGTCACATTACATTTTTCCCCCTGGTTACTGTTTACTTTCACAGTAAACAGTCGTAAATGAGTTATCAGATAAGTAATTTTGTTTTTTAAAATGTGATATTCAATATTCGATTGCATACAACGTAATATAACTTGATCTATTGAAGAACTACAATAAAATTTAAAAAAAACATTTGGTTATGTTAAGTGAATATTGGTCCCTAGAATATTATTCAAGAATAAAGTAATCACAGCATAATAAAAGCATATGGAATATATATAATGTTTATACTCCATATACAAAGCAATAAAATATCAATGCTAGTTTATCCTTTCACATCAAATGAATCTGAATACAAGCTTATGCTTACCCTCATCTTTTCTCATTCTCTAAGTGATCGATTGGATCATGAAGACATCAGCTTCTGGAGGGGGGAAGCATGGGATATAGTGGACAGCTAGAATGCAGCTGGACGATCTAGACTTTGCACATGATCTGTTTCTACTATCGCACACACAGCATCAAATGCAAGAGAAGACAACTAATGTAGCAGCAGCCGCAGCAGTAGTAGGTCTCAACATACACAAAGAGAAAAGTAAGATTCTCCAACAAAACATAGCATGCACCAATAAAATTACACTTGACGGAGAAGATTTGGAAGATGTGAAAACTTTTATATATCTGTACAGCACTGATGAACACGGTAGATCTGATGCAGATGTGAAGGTGCAGATCGGCATAGAAAGAGCAGTATATCTACAGTTGAAAAACATTTGGAACTCAAAAAAATTGGCAACCAACACCAAGGTCAGAATTTTCAATACAAATGTCAAAACAGTTCTACTGTATGGGGCGGAAACTTGGAGAACATCAAAAGCCATCATCCAGAAGATACAAGTGTTTATTAACAGTTGTCTACGCGAAATACTTCGGATCCGTTGGCCAGAAACTATCAGCAACAACGTACTATGGGAGAGAACCAACCAGAGGAAGAAGAAATTAGGGAGAAGCACTGCAATTGAATAGGACATACATTGAGGAAAGCACCCAACTGCATTACAAGGTAAGCCCTCACTTGAACTTCTCAGGGCCAAGGGAGAAGAGGAAGACTAAAGAACACATTACGTCAAGAAATGGAGACAGACATGAGAAGAACGAACAAAAATTGGATATAACTGGAAAGGAAGGCTCAGGACAGAGTGGGTTGGAGAATGCTGGTCGGCGGCCTATACTCCATTGGGAGTAACAAGCGTAAGTAAGTAACTTTACAATTAGCGATTTGGGCACATCATTATTCCTTAATTCAAGACTAGTAACTAACTTTAACAAACAGTATAGCACGTAAATTTGTAGAACCGAAATTAAAGTTAATTTTGATAAGTTTATAATACCATTGATAATGAACTATTCACCAGTCCGTAATACTTTGAAGTTGTCATTTTATATTCTATTTCATATACTATCTTAGAAATAGTAAAATATCAGTTACTAATTATGAGTTATGTGCAAATAAGGTAGCAAACTTGAATAATATTATTCAACAAAGACATCACACTCAAGATAGTATATCTTTATTTCTTACTTAGCTATAGTTTCTATCAGCTTCAAAGTTACATTTTTAGTCTTTTCATATAAAGATGATTCTCAACCTTCGATTTTTCATTAAGGTATCATTAGGCTAACCAAAGAATTGAGGTAGAAAGCTTCTAACTGTATTACCAACACAAATGCCCTCTATAATTGTTTTGTTTCAGGACCTTTGTGGATAACTTATTGGTGTTTGTAGTAAATAGTTACTTCGTGTGAGAATATCAGCTGCGGTATTAATGTATTATAGCAGCTCATTTGCAATTTTGTTCATATTTAATTAGGTTAAGCCTTTTTGTTAAGTTATTTAACGGGGCGAGCTATTCGTACAATAACTACTTATTTATACCATTGTACCTTTATTATTGTTGCGCCTGTTTGAATATTTATGCTTGAGCATTTCTTACCGCCTACGCACATATTCATTCTACTAGCTTTCACTTTAGTCGCTTAATTGATTCGATGGTTCATGTATTTCCCTACGTATATATATATGTAGATTTTAATCCTATTCGTTGAACTCGCACGCTCACTCGCTCGCTTGTTTTTCGACATCACCCTTTCATTATTGTTTCGCGTGCCTGTGGTTGTGGTGATCTGTGTGTCATGCAATAATAAACGCGATCAACAATTCGTACTTGTCTTCTGATTTATACACCGTTGGGGATATTATCCAATAACGGTTATCAGGACGAACTGTTTACGAAGTTTAAGTATTATATCGAATACTGACCACTACATTATATCCATTTAATAAGTTCTAAGCAGGATAAAACGAGTATCCAAGGTTCCACTATAATCCACAATTTCAAAAAGATATTGTGAATGAGTCTCTTGTTTTAAAATAATTAATAACTCTGAACTCATAATTGATGAGGTTTCCATTCCTAAGTTTGAAGAAAATGTAGGTCGAGTGTTATCTTATCCATTCATTAAAAGTAAATACACACAATATATACTGTCTACTTTGGATTAACACTTTTTTACATGAACGACAAGTTTTATGTCTAATTATGAAGAATTCACTTCCTTTAAATAAAATAATATATATCCCATATCACCTCACAGTGAAGGTAATGGGAACGGTTTCACTTCTGAACGGATTTCAAATCGATATCTGTCACTACTGAAGTCACCGATTAAAATTCAAGAAGATTGGATAGGCTTTTTTCTTCTTAAAAATTCTAACTATGCATGACTTTTTGTCACTTGATCTTTCAGGATACATAGTAGTGGATAGAGTAGAAAAAATATAATATGAATTTTCCAAGATCATCAGTTTTAGATATAATTTCAGGAGTCTTAACTGAAAGATGCAATTAACGTTAATCGTAATACTAATATTTAGTAAGGGATATGTGTTGATAAACTGTACATCAATATGAATATTTAGTTAATTCAATATTTCAGTCCTTCTCTTTAGAATTGCATATTATCATTGATCATGTAATAGCTTGCACTGGGTGATCTAGAGGCTAAGCGTTCGCTCGCGAGACCGAAGACCCTGGGTTCGAATCCCGCGGGTGGACTCTTGGATGCAACCTGCAGAGGAGTCCCACAATAGAACGAAACAGCCGTCCGGTGCTCTCAGGTTTTCAATGGTGGTCTAACATTAATCGGTTCATGATCTCAATCAAAAACTTAATAATCTTCCCAACCCCATACTCACATATAGTTATTCAATCAATCTTGGTAATTCGGACTGTATAAATTAGTTCATATGAGTTAGTGTGACTATTGGAAAGAATATTAGTATTATACATACATGTTTATTGTAGTATGTTACTGACTTACCTGTTTATTGTTGCGTAGAGATTTTCATGTAGTTAGCTGTAGGTATTTCTTTGTACCACCAAACACTAAGTGGATTCATTCAACTAGATATCTTCACTACCATTTAAACAGATAGTGTTTTCTTTATTTATTGGTATACAACAATATGATGATGTCACTTTTTCACTGGATTGATTTTCTTTCTGAATATGTTCGAAATGATTTCGTAACAATTCATCATAATAACATTTCATATAGGTTTGTACTTCGTGAATGGGTTGATTATTTGAATCCAGTAAATGTATGAATGGTATTTGATTTTGTGAAGTACAATTAACATTGTTAAACTGGTTAGATGTATTAATTTTGGATTGAATTTCTACAGAATTATAAAATGAACTTGGCAAATTTTTAGGGCAGGTGAACGCTGTATGTTTTCTTTTGTATGAATCAGCTTCTTTTGCATATATGTTACTTGGAATGTCAACATTTAATCTGCACGACTTATTATGATTTGTATTGCTAGAGGAATTTCCTACATTCATGTCATGAATCATACAAAGAATGCATGAGATACACTCGGGAATAGATTTAAATTTATCATATTTTTGCTGATTGCCAAGCTGCGATGATGAATCAGTCGAGCTATCACATGAAGGCATTTCTAAGTTACTAAGTATATTAGGACAGGAATTATCACTCTTCTGTTCTGCTTTTGATACTGGAGTTGTTATTTGACGTTGTTCTGTATTCAATAGAGAGGAGATAGTAAATTTATTCAAATCTGAATTCAATTTTAACTGACGAGATGGATTCACTTGTTTCGATGATTCTAATTCCACCTCCTGATTATGCAATTGTAATGAATCTATCATACTTGGGTAATTACTAAGTTTCTCCTTTTGTTTTAAACGAGAGGGAATAATTTCATCGGAGGTATTGAGAACATGTGAGCTAGTATTGAAGAGTTTTGGATTTGAGAAAGGGAAAGAAAATGTGACGGGCTGCTCCATACCTACAGATTCATCACATATTGGTTTATGTACATTTAAAGATACACTGTCATTAACTAGTTGGTTAGTATTTTTAGTAGAATTCATAAGAGCTGAATACCAAGCGGCTATCATTAAAGACTGAGCCTCGTCAATTTTAGGAACCTGTTGAGAAGATAAGACAATAAAATAAATGCTATACATCGATAATTCAACATTAGACTGAATGGATAAGAATTGTAAATCTTAGTGTAATCCAGAAAATAGCTATTTCCTTTTGTTAAGTATTTTGAAATCGAATCAACTTATACAATTTTCTTTAGAGAATGAATAAAACCATCAAACAATTATAAAAAAGTTTGTTGCACCAATGTACATGTATGATTCAATACTTGTTCTAACTAGATAATTTCTTTATTTTAAAATTACTTCACTTTTAATAATATTATTAGACAAATAGAGTTCAACCAGATCTGTTGTGAGATAGTAACTCACTGAAAACAATGGTGGATATGTCACTCAATTCCGTCGATTAGTTGAAGTTTAACATTAACACCGTTGGATCCTGGCCGGCTCAGTGGTCTAGAGGTTGAGCGTTCGGGCACGAGACCAATATGTTCTGGTTTCGAATCTCGTGAGACGGAATCGTGAATGCGCACTGCTGAGGAGTCTCATACTATGATGAAACGACCATCCAGTGTTTCCAGGTTCTCCATGGTTGTCTTGCTTCCATTGACTCATGAATTCAACTACTAAATTACTATAATACCCACAAAATCCCTCTCTGATTATTGGACAATTATTTAATACCTTGCTAATATTAATTCATGTTACTGATTAACTTAAGCCTTTATTTGCTTCATTTACATTTAGTTATACACTTATAAATAAATAACTATAAATTGTCCACATGTAGTAAATCACTACATTTTTCCATGTAATAATCAACTTAATACCGCCTAATTTTGGAAATTAACTTAAGAATCTTTCATACATTCTAAGTACAATATATTTTAGATGTTGAAAAATGGTAGAAGTTATTAACAAATTGTGTCGAATAAAATTGTGAATAGGAAATTCTGTCTTATTTATGTTTTTTTATTGACTTTTCACTGACTGCCTAACTTTAAAAATATTGATAATGGATGGTGGCTACCAGTGAAATCCAGGATGCAAGTTTCGTTCTATTCCAAATTTGTAAGCTGGATGTACCTTTATCCCAGAGTTGATGTTCATTCTGGGACTCGAACCCAGTCCATATGCCAATATGAGAATGAACAATTGCAGTTCTAAACATGAATGGGAAAACTCAAACAACCAATACAAAAATGAATTAATGATAATAGTGATTATTTTCTATTTCTTTTGAAATTAGGGTATACACATCTATTGACTACAATACATCCATATACTTCAATCAAACAGTTCTTGATGAAATTCTCACTTCTGGTGAGAAACACATGTATATATGTATCTATCCGATTACTTGACATTTCTGTTGGTATACCAAATAGACAAACAATTGTTTATGTTAGGTGACAACATTTTATAAAAACAGCTAGTGGTTATTTCACTGGTAATATAGTATAAAAGTCAGCTAACATACTGGTTATTACATATGTAACAAACTTTTGTAAGAATAACAGTGACATCTCTCCGATCATTAAGACCCAAATGATATTAATGGATATGAAAACTTGAGAATTACTTGACATGTAAAGATGATAAATAACTCTTCAGCACAACATATGTGAAAAACAAACTGAATCTTTGCAATGCAAATTATTATTTAACTTTGAGATGGTCTGATTTATCCTATTGTTGAAATTTTCGGTTGAAATTTGGTCAGTCTCTTTTTGGTATATATGTGTGCTCTGCAGATTACCTCGATATAACTATTATGACACAAGTTTATGAAGAATAAATGGAATGGAAAATTCAGTGGCTATCCACAGCTAGCTACATCTCATTTCATTTTGAATTAAATGTCATACTCATTGAGCAAGCGAGTGGCTATGTAGACCCAGTAGTTAAGTGGATAACGTAATATCATTTGAAGCAAACGGTGCTAGGCTCAAGTCCCAGAGGGAACATGAACTCTGTGATGCAGGCACATCCAGTTGACGAATCCCAGACAGGACGAAACATAAGCTGTGGATTCCACTTCTAGTCAAATTTCATCTATTCCATGTAATTCGACTGTTATCTGTACTAGTATTTGAACATACGCTCCAAGTTTTATTATGAAAAAACTGAATAAATATTATTTTAATAAACATAGGTCTCATGAGATTAAACTTACTTTTGAAAACGTAGGATCGAATCCAGTTGACGTACGGTTGGCATGACTTGTTGTTGTATTTACAGATACTCTTAAGCGTTGATTTAGTTCATTAACAATATGATCATGCTCCATGTATTCCGTTGTTAAATGAAACTGTGAACTTAAATATCCTTTGGCCATTTGACTGCTGTCATAATCGTTTATCTCGTCATTTTGAACGTGAATATTTTTACTGGAAAAGTTTACGTTACAGTTAACTGCAGCTAAACTTTCATTACTGGTTTTAATGGTGTCTTCATATGAATTAGAGATTGATTCCATAAATCCATAGGATTTGTCTAAATTTTGAATATTAGAAAAGGATTTTGTTTGTACAATCGATGATAATGGTAATGAATTCATTGGCTCCATTGATTTATATGTCATTGGAGTAAATGATTTTCTATAATTTATATTTAAATTGGATAATTTAGAAGAAGAAGAGAAAGGACGAAACGAAGAGCAGTTAATAGTTTGAACATTTGGAGATAATAATGATTCTGTCGAAATCATTGATGTATTTACTGGTTGATTATTAGAAGATAATAATTGCATATTGATTTCTATAGGATTATGCTGACTTGAATGTATAGAATAATCAAGAGGATCCATTGATCCATCAGATGATGATTTTACAATAGGTAATAGACTTTCAGCAATCTTTAAGAGATTAAACCAATCTTCTGGTAATGCTGATGATAAATGATTGAAATCAAAACTGTTTATAACCTCTTGATACATTTTCGGTAGATATTTACTTTCATCAGAAGATAAATATTGTTTCATTTTAACATTTGAATTGACTACCTCATGAAATTCATCAACTGAATCTTCACTACTCTTATAGTATACAGATTGTGAATTTGGTGTATAACATAATGGAATATTATTAAATTGATTCATATTTTTAAGAAAAGATTTCTATTACTTGTTTGATTCATCAACCGATTAGAAGTATTGAATAGAAGTTTCTGTGAAGATTCTTTTGTCTTTGGTAAATTTCTATTCAAATTACATTTATATGAATCATTGGATTTTTGTATGAATTTACATGGATTATTTATGATTGAATTAATGTTTGTATGATCTATTAAATTAGATTGTTTAATTAATTGATTAAATAATTCTCTTTTATCATGATCATACATTTTTAATAATTCTGGATGTCTTCTAACAACATGACGTTTTATTGTATCTAATTTTCTTTGAGTCATAACTTTATGACAAATAAGGCACATAACCTAAAGATTATTAACAAAGGTAACACAATATAATTTACTGAATTAAATTTTAATATTAGATGAGGTTTTTATAGATATTATCGTAATTTTAATAGTTAAGATCATGAATCAATTGAAGCTAGATCATCATGGAAAACCTGGAAACACTGGACGGTCGTTTCATCATAGTATGAGACTCCTCAGCAGTGCGCATTCACGATTCCGTCTCACGAGATTCGAAACCAGAACATATTGGTCTCGTGCCCGAACGCTCAACCTCTAGACCACTGAGCCGGCCAGGATCCAACGGTGTTAATGTTAAACTTCAACTAATCGACGGGATTGAGTGACATATCCACCATTGTTTTCAGTGAGTTACTATCTCACAATTATATTATTGACTAATAGTTTACGAAACTTATAGCATATAATTAATATAATTACTGAGATGGTCTACAATTGTTTATATTGTTACATTACTTTTTTGATGTATGTCGTTCATATGTTGATATCTTCAGCATTGAGCTGTACTAAGTATACGAGAGTTGGTGATATTATCCGCTATGCAAGTTGAAGTACGTTCATAAAAGGTTTGAACCTCATAACTATTGGTTGTAGGCTAATTGTTTGACCAGTACGCCACCCCTTCTTTGATGTGAAAATGATGAACTGACTCAGTAACATATTCAAAAGAAAACTTATCACTCTAATACTTAAAGTCTTTGAACAAACAAGTTGTTCGTCTCAAACAAAACTCCGGCTACTTTGATTTAGACAGTTACAAGAGTCGTGACAGTTGTTGATTATTTTCTCATAGTTAGTGATATTCTCTCAATATACTTTTCTAATGAGGAAGTCTATTTTCCAAAGAAAAAAAAACCCGTTCCACTTCACAAGAGAATAGCGATCGTAACCTACACCTTAATTCAAATCCATTATTTCTAATAAAGTAAAGTATATCTTTGAATTAAAGGTTATACTGTAGTCCTCTAAAATCCTTCTCGTAATGGTCATCTTCATCACTAACACTAAGATTAACAGATTTTTCTTTAGAATCATTACTATATACATTGAACGAACACTATACTATAGATATTATATATTTGTGTATAAAATTATAAATCACCAGTTTTTAAGTGACCAATTAATGTCAATAAATAAGATTCATAAAACGGGGGAAAAATTAGGCGAAAGCATAAAAAATAATATAAGACTACCGTTTTTTTTTCTATCTCACTCTCTCAATCCGTCTGATTTTGCATATTTGTCCATGGCCTCTCCCTTTAATTTACCCCGACATTTTTACCGGAATACATTTTCTTGTCTTAGGTTTTCTCCCTTACATTTTTTCGCTAATGTTTATTATTTTTCATACTTTTCTCTATGAATTGTAAAATTTTTATTACTTTTCTAAAACAGTAGAATTTATGAGACTTTTGTTTGGACTATGTAATATTCAGTACTATATATTCGAGAAGAAACGTGGATTATTGGTAGTTTTCTTTTTCATCTAAGAATCATTGGAAATCATAGAAAATAAGAATAATGACTGCTTAAGATTGGATTTTCTACTTTTTACAGTAGATAAAGCGCAAACATAAGAATGTGTGTTAATATTTACTAAAAATCTTTATAGATAGTTCAAAGATACTACTACTACCACCACCACTACTACTACTACTAATAATAATAATCATAATCATAGCTATCCATCAACCGTAATAAATGAATGTTCGTATGTGTATCTAAATGTCTTTTAAATGCAAAGAAGTACACACTCCAATTGCAAGTTCTGATAGCAATAGTAATAAAAGTAGTATTGACGTTAAAGGCTGATTAACAACATTTCTAATTAGACTCGTTCTACTACTACAATTACTATTATTACTACTACTACTACCACTGGTAGTAGAAATAATTTATCATATCAGTTTATTTGCTTAAGATTTTTTATAAGTCAACGGAAACGGCTTTTAAGTAAGTTTTTGGATAAGGGGGATATTTTCTTTATGGATTGGTTATTCAACCACATCAAAAGCTTAAGGGAAGTAGCTTTAATAAGTACATATTTGTGTATTTGGTTTTAATTCACAATTTGTGTGAAGAACAGTGATTCTACCTGACTGCTAAAACTAAATTAAGCAGTGCAGGGTTTGACTCTGAAACCTGTTAAATGAAAACCTAGTAGTTTAACCAATTATTCACTGTTTCACCACTATGATGTTTGGTACCTTTTTGTTTGTATCAATGAATTATTCTTCCTTATTGGGTTTTCGATGAGAATAGATGTCTCTCCATCCTGAATACTTTTATAATGATTATGTCTACTGATATAAGAATAAAGACCTCATTCTTTTCCCAGATGTAATGATCACAAAGGCCTCCAAAAAATCTAGACATTTAACTATCCATCATCTGTTCAACTCATTTTGCTAGGTTCTCATTTTGATGAAACGTTAAGGGTTCATATTAAACCAAAGTTAATAAAAATGATGGTACTTTGGTGGACGTTACTCATAAGGATGTTTGTAAGTATTGTTTATCTGAACATGGCGTCGAAGTTGTAACAACTGCGGAAACTTCCATTGCATAGAAAACACGGTTTGGTAGAACACTTAAGGACCAGACGAGACTTTTGGCAGTATCGGTAAGTTGTAAACCGACCCTTTTTTACGAAATACTGTTTTGCAATAAGTATGATTAAGCTATTTGATCTGAATTATGTTATGAATATACTAGCAAATCAATAGTGACAACAGTTATCTGAATTTTCTGGGTGCTCTTACCATGAGTAATCAGTTGCTCAGAGTATCCATGTTAATTTGACATCGGGTTAAAGTGATTCAAACTATTTGAGCTTTGGACTTCAAATTTGATAGAATCTGTCCGCCTTTCGGTATCTAACTGAGGAACTATCATTGGATAATTAAAGAGGACCTATGTCTAATTTATAAGCGTTGCATCATGGATATTAAATGACTAATATCACACAGTAAAATAAATAATTGCTAACTTAATCTTGATCATAGCACTTGAGTACGTGATCGAAACCTATAGTACTTCGAGGCGCTATCAGAATTCACTATAAATTAATTACTGATGAGTTCGTTTCCAGGACATCTAACTAAAAGTTCAATCCATTTATTCAATGATCAATGATGTATCTAGGTTCACTGTTACCTGATACTCTGTATGATATAACCAACAGGCTTTCAAAGATAATAAAGCAAGTTGATAGGTTTTAGAGTTTAGTTACCTTTAAACAAAACTCAATCGTAAAGCTGTGGTGTTCATTAAGAGTTCGGGTTTGCATCCATAAACAAAAGGGTTCCTTGCGAGTTATTCCTATCCAGAACGTAAGACCAAGTTTTTTTCTATATTTTACCTCTATTAAACTGATCCTTTTACAATAATATGTGAGCGACTATTTATTGTTATTACTGTTACTTTTTGGTCAGATTTCCCATTGAAATTCTCAAATTTGCATACCTAACTTTATGATAATAATATTATGAGGAAATTATGGATCAATGGGGACAAACTCGGTTAGTAAATGTTTATTCTATAGTCGTTTGTCAGCATCACTAAAAATGACCAATCTATAAAAAATTGTTTTTACTAGAGAAAGAGACAGTTTTAGTTGTTACGCAATACGTCATCAAGAATTCTTACTTTTACTAATACAGAAAGCTAGTTATCAAGTAAGGAGAGTGGATTATCATATTCAACTTACTTCATGAAGTCCATGTGGTATAACAAGCCATAAATGTTTCCATTCTTCACGAAACCTTCGTCTACGATCTTTTTCACGCCATGATAAGTATTTATAAGCTCCTGTTGAAACAACAGTATTTTTCACATTGTTTTGATTATCACTGTTAGTTTTACCTTCATCTTCGTCATTGTTCCATGGGCTGTCTTTGGGAGTGGAATAAAAAGTCATATCTATTGTTTGTTTGTTGACGCTATTTTTTTCAAGTGTGGGACAACTTTTATCTAATTTCGATTTTTTACCATTTATTGAATTCCCATCTTCATTTACAGTATTTTGATTTAAAGAACATGTCTCCTTCAGTAAATTATGTGTTAATGAATGATTAATCGCATGAGCGTGAATAACCTCAAACCTGTCATTGATATGTGTATTATTATTACTGATAGGAATACTGATTGCATTAGGTTGATTAAGGCCAGTAATCTTGTTGATTCCTGCTTTTATATATTTTCCAGTGTATTTCCTAGATACACTAGAATGGTTTTTAGAATACTTTCGTTTTGATAAACGTCCACCATCAGTTTCATTATTTGTAGTGTAACATACAACTGGATCGGAAGTGCATTCTGATTTCCTTAAGGAAGATGTATTGTTATTATTAAATTTGAAGCTGTTTGAAAATTCGAGTGATGAAGTGCGATTGTAATTTGATTGCTGAGGATCTGTTACTTTCGAACTGGTAGATGTTAAACACTGATGATCAATAAAATGGGAATGTATGGAATAATCAAGAGGATTATCAGTCTTGTTAACTGTAATATTGTTAGGTAAACTCATTTTCCTGACTATATCTTCATGTATATTTGATTCGGCAGTATAAATGGAATTGCCTCGAGATGTACATTCAGAGAATGTAACTTCAATAGGTGACCAAGGTGTAAAATATCCTATTTGATTCTTATTATTACGATTAACAGAAAAACTGCCATCAAATGATCGTATAGGTGTATGATCATTTAGCGTTGATAAAATATATCTGTGACTTTCTTTTAGGCTCATAGATTTATCAGAAAATAGTGACGATGTTTTGATAATATCTTGATTTGCAGCCATTTTGTATTGAAACTCAAGGTGTGATTGTGAAATATGATGCGTTTCCTTGTGAATCTTTTTTACAAGAGAAACTGAAAAGTAAGTGGGTGAAGTAGATTTATTAAATTGATAATGCATTGGTGTGGGATATTGAAAGAAATTCCCTAGGCTTTTTTATTCTGCACTGCGAAAACATACTCCTTGAACCTCATGAGAGAGCCGCTTAATCACGTTTAAGTCAAATACAATCATTTATTACAACTGCAAATAATATGAAACAGATTTAAGTGGACAGGCGAATAAACCTCATACTGTATACTCAGACATACAGAGTTTTATGGAAATGACTTATCAATGTAGTATCTGAATGATTGCTGAAAATTCGTTGACAAGTGACATAAACAGTTTTGGCTTTATGCTGGGTGAGTTGGATGCAATGAAATTTGAAAAAGATCAAAGAATACGTCAAGATGCACGACAAAAGTGTTATCAAGCAGGAATATAGGAACACCCACTTAGTAATGCACTTAAAATAATGATTCGTTTGTAAATAGTGATAATTACTAAACTTAGGTTAGAGGATCTTCCTGCTGTACAACGGTTACTCAAACGCTGCTAGTTTTTATTGGAAGGATTTCTGAGTTCTTAAGATATAAGTTTCGCACCTATATTATTAAGGAAATCAGTTTCCGAGTAAATGAAGATAGGTGGTCTCCTATTTTTGTTCAATCGGAATAAAAATGAATTTTGCGTTTGTTACGTCAAACGTTTGGTCTAAACCTATGAATAACAGTGGATCATTCGAAGACGAGAATAGACTTCTATAAAGACATACAAACGTAACTACCTACTACTTTCAATGATCTGACAATACTTCAAATCTGTTAAACATACTCCGTTCATGACTTTCATACATTAAAATTCAATGCTAAGGTGAGTTGCTAGGTTATTCACGAACTTTGATCATTGAGAAAATTATAAAGTGATTACCGCCTAGAAAATGAATCATTATTTAAGGATTGTTTTCCTCTTTACCAGAACTTTTATTTTCCATCTATCACAATGTCATTTTGGTGATATTGTGTCTTCGTTGCAACCCAGTGATAATCTTAGACCACCACAATGAAATGGTCAAACTGAAAAGCTTCGTCATCGGAAAACGATTGATTCTGCACATGTATGTACACAAAGCATTTATATGACTTTAAGAATTTGCCGTCGTGTTAGGTGACATTCTCTGAAAGTGATATAAGATAGAACTTTTTCGTTTTCAATTCCTATTTATTTTAGATTATAATTCAAAATAACTAGATTATCTTAAATTACCAATAACATGTTATGTGTTAAAGTGAACCAGTTGATTATTCAACTAATCAATCCCACCAACTTATGCTTACGGAATGACACATTGAACAGTGAACTTGTTTATTGTAGTTTGTTTATCATATCTTAGCATCTTATCAAGTTCTCTTTAATAAAACAAAATATCAAACTGTTCGAATCGCGTTAAATGATTATTGAGACTAACTCTAACCTATAACTACTAGAGTTAAAACCACTAAATCAGGCGAAATAGAATTTCGTCACTGAATGTAAGGAATCTGAAATTCGATTTTTTAAATGAGTAAGAATGTTCAAATTATATAGACTTTTACTTTAATATATGAATAAACACTTCTTTTAATTAATCTAAGTAATGATAGAAAGTAGTTTTCCATACATGCCCATGTATAGAAATGACTAGATAATAAAATAGTAGTGTTTTATAAATACAATGGTGTACGGTGGCGCAACTTCATGGGTTGGTTGAAGTTAGACATTACCACCAGTTGATGCCGGCTGAGTGGTCTAGTTGGTTAAGCACCTGGCGCGGGACTAATAGGTCCTGGGTTCGAATCTCGCGGGGTGCGGGATTGTGGATGCGCACTGGTGAGGAGTCCCATACTAGGACGAAGCGACCGTCCAGTGCTTCCAGGTTTTCCATGGTGGTCTAGCTTCGATTAACTCATGATTTCAATCTGTGAAATTTACAAAATCTCCACAAACCCTTTCTGACAAGTAAGTCTATTTAATTTGAAAATTTGTTAAAATTATTTGTGTAATTATATTATTGAAATTGCATAACACGTATCGACCTACTAGACACAAAATTATTTTATTCAGTCAATCAGTGATGCGGAATACAGAACCTTGAACAATATTTGGATCAATACAAGTCATCACATTGCATCAACCGTTCTAGAATGAATCGGTTATCTGGTGCTTCCAGGTTTTCAATGGTGGTTCAATATTGATCGAATCATGATTTCAATCAAACTCAACAATCTCCATAACCTTATACTTATAAATAAAATTATCAAGACGAATACAAAGGAATGGTAGTAGTAGTAGTTTCGAGGTTAGTAAAGAAAAAAATATTAATGATAGAACAAAGCTAACACAAATGTTTCATTACACAGAAAGAAATCCCTAAGATATTCATACATGCATGGTATCTAATAAATTTACAAATAACAATACAGGCAATGCTGAAACTTTTCCACTTCAACGTTTTTTTTTCGTTTTTCTTTCTATTTTCATCTGTTCTGTTCATCTTATGATCAACATGATTTTCTATAACTAGGTGTTTACCTTGTCACTACACACATAATTGTTTCTTATTTATTATTGGTTAATTTACAAATATTTTATACAGTATTTCATTTGTCTATCCATTTTATTATTGGTAGTAAATTAATCAACACTGATTAACTAGTCAATTTTATATTGAAGTGTAAGACTAGACATTCTGGCGTTCAATCAATAAATCAGTGTTCATCTATTCTTGAAAAGAAAAAGAAACAGGTGATCAGGGTACTTGTTTATATACATATGTATGATTGTTTACATATATAAATAGTGATATCTGTAATATGTCAATAATTAAAATAAAATACATTGTCAAGTTGTTTTGGTTAATTATTCATATCATAGTACAATACATCTATCTATATAAAAATCTTATGACACAGTGATAAACATCACTTCTTCATAATATTAACTTTACAAAGAGTATGGTAACGACAATATACTCAGTCAACAAATGTTTTTACATATGTACTTATAGGAGAACAGGTCATAGATATATGAGGTCTATGAGAAATACGATTATATATGATTTAGACGGGTATATCTAGTGATTTAAAGTCAGACCAGCATTCTCTAACCCACTCTGTCCTGAGCCTTCCTTTCCAGTTCTATCGAATTTTTGTTCATTCTTCTCATGTCCGTCTCCATTCCTCAGTGTAATGCGTTCTTTAGTCTTCTCTTGTTTTGGCCTTGAGGACTCAACTCCGTCCGGAGCCCCTCTGGGGCTACTGCCGGTCCCAAGTCGGGATAAAGTAGGAGGGTTGGGCATGGGGTTAGCGACCTCATGCCGTAGAAAAATAATTCGCTAAAAAAGGCTAACCAGAGTGTTATAACCCTAGAATAAAGTTGTAAATACTTACAACTAGTTTATCTTAGTATTATACAGCTCTATCTATCTTCGTACTTAAATGTTATACCAACTGGAAAAACATTGTGGTTTAGTAGTAGTCTATTACTTTCTATCTTATTATATTAGTATTTTATGGTAAAGTGATGAAATCATAATGATCTAAGTGTTTCTGTTCAGTTTTGATTAAATAAGACTCACTGTTGAGAAATTTATGACGTATGTTATTAGATGAAAAATATCAATTTGATAGGTAGAACGTCATAAAAAACCATACTGAATAATTACACTACAAAAGTTCTAGATATTTATTATATTCAGTATCGAAATTTGAAAAAAAGTAAAGTACAGTCAAAACTCTTTATTTCTTTGAGTTCCATTATATCACTGTTCTCATTGTCTATAGATATTGCAATAGAAAAAATTGCAAGGGTATACATCTAAATTTAGATATCTCAAAAGAAAATATGATGATATTCCATGAAAGCTCAAGGAAGTTTCATAAAGAAACTGATACGGTGGATAGTTAAGTTTGAATTTCAATGATTAATAGTTGGTCAGTGAAATCAATTATTCTGTAAAAGGGTTTTCAAATGACTTTTGTTCACATTTATTTGATGAAACAGATAATTTCTATCTTTCTAGTCCAAATTGTGAAATAATCTTATTTACACTAATACTGAAAATCTGAAAACACTGGATGCCTATTTTGTCTCAGTGTGAGACCCCTCGGCAATGTGCACCCACGACTCCGCATCTGGCAATCAAACTCAAGAACTTAAGTTTCGAGCGCGAGCTGGTATTCGACTGTCATCCTGCGCTCTCAGTTTTACAATGGTGGTCTAATTAATATCGCTCCATCATTCAGGCTATGACAATTTTACAATCTCCACGAATCCTTCTATACAAATAAATATTTATTTCATTGGAAAGATATAAGGTTTTGTTGGCCATTTGCTTTTTATGTTCCGATTTTATTCATTCGACCGCTTGCATATGTTTACTTGGTTTGTTCAAGAAATCATAGCTCCATATCAATCCATATAACTAATCACACATACACATGCATTATACTTATTCACTAAATGCAATTCTTTTCCTGATAAGTTAGATATAAACCAACTAACTTATAAAATAAATTTTAGGTTTTGATCCTTTTACTAGTTTTGTGTGTAACTTTCATTGAAACATGAAATTTATATCTTAGTGAATATGATACAGTTTAACTCGGATTGATTCGCACAACTATAAGTCATCGACTAATTTTGTAAGTTGTTCATTACATCCAGTGTATAACTTTTTATTCAAGTTCTCAATAGCGAATGTTACGATGAGGGAATTCTGCAGTACCTCCTAAATTTTAGTGAGTTTTCTATGAAGAATATCTGTAGACAGTGGGAAACACTGTCATTTCAGTGTTTCAGTTGACTAAAACAACAGATAACATCAAGAAGACATCAAAGCATTATCCCCTAGTGAATGAATGATATTGATGAGAATAATCATGATATGTCTTACCTATTCTCGTCTTTCAATTTATTTATGTATGAATTTGTGTTTTATTTATATACCAGACGGCTATTGATGGTTAGTTAAAGAAATACAAATAAGATAATCATGATAAGGTTAAAACAAATAAAAAAAACACCCTTTTTGTTTTGATCAAAGCACATATATGCACGTAGAAAGTGGAATGATGAACTTTAGTCTTTCTTTTATCAATCAGATTGATCAGAGACGTAAGTAACGAAAGTATCTAAAAAAATAACGAATATGGTATTCTCGTATAACAATTGAATTGGTGACAAAAAGCTAAAATCATTCAGCAAAATATGAGACAAGAGAATTTTAGATTACAACTTCTTATTCCACCAAACCTTTTTGTTTATTGTGTGAAGTTTGTAATTTTTGTTTTAAGTATAGTGAATTTTCTTTGAATAGACACATTTTATGTAAACATTGATAGTAGATCGCATTGCTGGAGCTGTATAGTCAAACAGGTAAGATCAAAGATTTCAAAAGAAAAGGTCATTCTGTCAACAACAACAAAAAAACGACTTAACAGTAACTTGTTTTATCTACAGCTGCCCATATATGCGTTTTCGGACATTAAGTGATTGATGAGCTAACTCTTAAAGTGAAAAGAAAGGCTGTTTTACTTTAGCACATTCTCATTTTCTGTTTTAAAATAGCCCCTTGCATAAAACTGATACAGTACAGTGTTTATTTAACAGTTGGACGAAAAAATGGTGATGGGCGTAATGCTCCAGTTATTAGTTTTGTTTTATAACATTAACTAATTTATATGGAATATTCGTGCTTTTTTGAGTCTTTACAAATATGTAATTAAAATAGGTTTAAAAATAAGGGATAACTTAGTATTTTACAATTATTGTACTCACCACGGTAC